CACCCAGTGAGCTTTGTAGCCGAGGGAGGACTGAATCCAGTCCTAGTCCAGCACTCTGCTCACTATACCAGAGATTAGGAACATGTGGCTATCTAGATATTATTCAGTTCCAACTCCCATTAGCCTAAGCCAGGATGGTCAATGATCAAGGATTCACAGGGAAAGCTTCACCTATGGGATTTCTACCTGGCAGGCAGGTCTTTCTACCCATTAAACTGGGGTGCCTGACCTGTAGCCCTCTATATGTTGCTGAACTACAACTCCCATCCTCAGTGGCCATTGGCCATGCTGGCTGGGCTGATAGCTGTGGTTCAGCAACATCTGGAGGGCCACAGAATCTCTGCAAGAAATACAGGTGGCAACTTTACTGAGCCTTATCATTTGAAATAGGTTCTGGAGCTGAGATGTGGCAAGCTCTGGTTCAAGCAAGCATTGCTGCTCCACCACCAGGGCCACAGCCACTCACTGTGGCCTCCCATCTCTGCCCATTTGAGTCTCTGTGTTTGTTGCCTTGCCTTTCTTCCTAAAGTCCGTGGGCTGGGGGAGAGATGGAAATAACCCCAGGACAACGCTGTTCCCTGCCAAAGATGCCCCATCCCAAAGTACACTGTCCAATCGGATTAACGCAGGGAAATCAAGAGAGTGCACTGCTGTTGTGCCTTATTTTATTTACATGACTCATTCACATCAGATTTGGATTTCTCAGTAGATTATTGAAGGGTTTTTATGCAAATAGTTATCACGACCAGATATATATTAGCAAGTGTTCGAGAAATCTCTGAACATTTCTTTGACAGTTTTTCCATAATAAAATATATTGTCGTGGGTGACCTTGGTCTCATAAACAAGGGCAATTCAGGTAACAGGGGTGGGGGTCCAGAACAAGCAACACTGCATCATGCTGAATAATGGCTCAGCATCCCTGAGACAATTCTGGCAAGCTGAGCACATAAAACAGAGCAGGAATTCACTTGGAGAAGGCGCTCGGAGCAGAAATGACTGGACGTTTCTCCTGCAGTTTCCCCGCCCTCCAGCGCTTGAAATAAATAGGGCATGCAGAAGATTCCTGTGCTGTTGCCACTCACCCTCTCCCTCCCCCACCCCACCCGCCGCCCCATATCTCTATATTTGCAGAAGGGTGTTTCCCAAAGTGGGACATCTGGCTTCCTATGACAAGTGGAGCAGCCCAGTAGGTAGGAGCAGATATCGACTCAGGGAAACTGCCGGTTGAGGAGTCTTTCCGCAGCACAGGGAGGCTCCGGGGTTGCAGAGGAGACCTGCTGGGATGGAAGACTGCAGAGCTTTGTCTGTCCTGTCTGGCAAGGCAAAGTCCCTGGCCAGGCAAAGGGGTGACTTTTCATTCCATGCCCTGGCGAATGGAAGCTGGTAGCAGGCTCACTTCCCAGACATTACGATCATGATTATTTCGATTTATAGCTTGCCCTTCCTCCCCAAGGGGCCCAGGGCAGCAGACACAGCAATAACAAACTTTGTTAAAAATTCTGAAAACAGTTAAAGGCATTTTGAAGAGAGTTTAAAAAACATTATAAGGACATAAAAAAAATTCTTTAATTTTCAGTTGCAAAAATACATACAACACTATAGCTTCATATTGTAAGTAAAACAGTTAATTCAGATTTGCCAGGAACAGCACCTTTTGGTAACCAATGCCTAGGTAAACAGGAACATTTAAAAATTTCTCCTGACAATAGTGAAGGTGGCAGACACACCTCACTTTTGAAGGTCCCAAACTTGGAACCACTATCAGAAGGCTTGAGCTGGTTGACATTGGGGGAGGCCTGCTTTTAGGTACTGGGTCCCAATATATGCTAGTGCTAGCACCTTGAATTTGGCCCAGTAGCTCCTTGTCAGCCAACACAGTACATTCCAGACACAGGGTCCCACCAGGCAACAGTGCTTACTAGCACTCACATTCTGTACTAGCGGCAGCCTGCAGACTGTCTACAAGGGCAGCCCCACATGCAGTGCATGGGAGGAAGTCACCAGGGCATGGACAACTGAGACCACTCTATCCCAATATAGGAATGCCATGGCTGGTGAACCAGTTTAAGCTGGGCATAAGCCCTCCTAGCCACATTTGACTCCTGTGACTAGTTGGAATCCAGACCATGAACCTGTTCCTTCAGCGGGAGGGCAGTCCCTCACAGAAGAAGTGGTGCACCTAATTCCCAGACATGGGAACCATCGACCAACAGCACTTCCGTCAGACTCAGTATTTATTGGCTACCATCCAGTCCACCACTGCCTCTAGACACCTGCCCAACACCTTCACAGCTTCTCCTGATTCCAGAGACAAGGAGAGACCAATGTCACTGTACTTCCAAAGCCCAGGGCTGGATCTAGACACATAAAAACAAGCGTTTCAGAAAAACACGTTGCAAACCTCAAAGCGGGAAATCACGTTGGTGAAAGATGGAACTCCACAGCACCATCTGGTGCCACAGTGTTATAACACATATTTATTTACTAATGCAGCTGAGTCCCAGGATGAGAGTTCCCAACATTTTCATATGGATATTAAATATCATAGGAGACAGAATGGACCTTTGGGGGAAACCCACAGCCCCCAAAGCCAAGGAAGTGAGCAATGTTCTCCTAGTGCTACTTTCTGGTAGTGATTCTGCAAGTAGGAGTAGAACAACTGTAATACAGTCCTTCCAACTTCTATCTGAGAAGTTCCAGAACACCAATAGTGTCAAAAGCTGCTGAGAGGCTCATCCACCCATCCATCCACCCACCCCCTACATGCCTCTCCTGATGGCTCACAGAATCAAGAGTATGCCCCCACCTAGCCCCACACAGAGGTCAGATTAACCTTGAGCCTAATTTGCTTAAACCCACTCTGAGCCTCAGTCAGCCCAAACCAGCAGGCTTTACCATTCTTATGAAATTTCATCAAGGTTGGACTGAATCTGCAGTGGGAAGGAGTATCTCAAACAGAGAACAGCCACCACCAAGATCCAGTCTATTCCTGCTCTCTGAAGCTGGCAAGTGGTCTGTCTCATTAAGGCTCCAAGGGTGTAATATTTTTCTCAGTTTTAAAAAGCAACCGTAAGGCAGCCCCAGGTGGAGAAAAACAACAGGAGAGGGTGGAAAATTCAAGAGGAAAAACACACAGCAGGTTAAGTACTCCTCTGACAGCTTCTGACCAGTCACTTCTCACTCAAGATTGCAGCCTCTGAGGCCGCTTTGCATTAAGAAAATTAAAGTCAGAAGAATGTGACATGTATCTGTGAGTAATCTCTCTAGTCGTCTGATCTTTTGCAGATTTCAGAGCGCCATCATCATGTGCGGTGGGTGGGTGGATGGGTGGGGGGACTTGATGGAAAGCTGTCTGTAAGGGAAGCTGTTTCTCCTGGGTTTTCCGGATTCAAATGACCCAGTTGAGTTTTCCAGGCCCTGCAGTTCAGTAGCCCTGGGCTCCTCTGTTTCCTTTACAGCTAGGACAAAGTGAGATGCTGAGAGAGAAGATGACACAGCTGACCTTTGTCTGACGGTGACAAAGCCAACTTTGACTGAGGTGCTTTTAATCTTGAACCATGCTATTATTAGCCAAACACCTTGTGAGAGTGAAAGAGAATGAATGAACAGCATCTCCTTTCCCAGGAGAACATTCAGGTTGGCCATCAAACAAAATGGGGAGTGCGGCAGGGAAGTTAGCAGTAGAAATAACCTTAACTCTGCCCCTGTGCTTCAGTCAGAGAATTGGTTTGTCCCGTCCCCGCCCCGTCCCCCTGCCCCGTGAGACACAAGACTCGTTTTGATGGTGGTGGTTTAGAAAAACAAAATGTTGCCGTGCTGCTGAGTACTCCTGTTCCACATTCCAGTGAGCCAGCCAGCCAAGCTCCCCTTCCAAGCTATACCATTGCATGTGGCTATACTTCAGGGTCTATTCCATTCCACCTCCCTCTTCCCTGGCCCCCTAACACAACAGTCAGCATTCTGTGGGCACTGAGCATGCCCAGTCCACGCTGGATCATATAGGGTTTTTATTTCCTTTTCTAAAGATACTTCAGCAAACCATGTAAACTCTCCTTGCCTGTTGATGACACTGTTTTGGCTGCATGACACACAGACAAGAACTTGTAAATCTGCCTGTGCTTTGCTACCTAGAGCTTAAAGAGATGACCTTTCACACCCCTGCAGTACTGTACAGAAATGCATGCAGGCCAGGGCAAAATAAACAAATAAAGAGTGGGGGCATATTATGATGAAGGAACAAGCTTGTTCCACATATTAAATTTCTGAAGGAGAGAAAAAACTGACTTGGGAGGGGTCAGGAGAACCCTAAGAACTGCGTACAGGTGAAGGAGAAGGAGGGCGTCTGTCAAGCTGCAGTGCTTGCGCAGGAAGAATGCTTGTCATAGTGTGACATTGAATCCCCCCAATATAATTAATCAGACCCTTCAACTGTCCCTATTTTCCAGGGACAGTCACGGATTTACAGGAGCCATCCTGGTTCTGATTTGATCCGTGGAATGTCCCACTTTTCCTTAGGATGTCCCTGTTTTCATTGAAGAAATGTTGGAGGGTATAGAGCTATATGACCCCAGAGCCAAGGAGATAAGTAGCTAAACAATCTTTAGAAGACATCTGAAGGCAGCCCTGTATAGGGAAGTTTTTAATGTTTTTATTTTGTTTTATTTTGTTTTATTTTATTCTTGTTTTATTCAGTTTTATTCTGTTTTTATATATTTTGGAAGCCGCCCAGAGTGGCTGGGGCAACACAGTCAGATGAGTGAGGTATAACAACAACAACAACAACAACAACAACAATTGAATGGGACATCCCTATTTTCATTGGAGAAATGTTGGAGGGTATGAATTAAAGGGATGAACAGACCTCCAGTAGAATGAACTTCTATAACGCAGGTTCAGTCAGCTGGTGATTACAGAAGCATAGCATAATAGAATTGTACAGTTGGAAGGGACCCTGAGGATCATCTAGTCCAACCCCCTGCAATGCAGGAATATGCAGCTGTCCCATACAGGGGTAGAACCTGCAACCTTGGCATTATCAGCACCATGCTATAACCAACTGAGTTATCCATCAGCCCCAGCCAGCAATGGCCAACAGTCAGGGTGATGGGAATTGTACTTCAGCATCATCTGGGGGGCCTCAGGTTCTCCATCCCTGCCGTAAAGCAAGAGGAAATGGTCCTTCTCTTCCCAGAGCAAGAGAGGATGCTCAGGCGCAATGGGTCAGCAAGCTTTTTCAGCAGGGGGCCGGTCCACTGTCCCTCAGACCTTGTGGGGGGCTGGACTATATTTTGAAAGGAAAAAAAATGAACCAATTCCTATGCCCCACAAATAACCCAGAGGTGCATTTTAAATAAAAGGACACATTCTACTCATGTAAAAACATGCCGATTCCCGGACCGTTTATGGGCCGGATTTAGGTGATTGGGCCGGATCCGGCCCCCGGGACTTAGTTTGCCTACCCATGGTGTACATCATCACTGCTCTAGTCCACTGAAATCCCTCAGTGTCATTCAGGCTCCGAGCCCTGCATTCTCTTTGCCGTGTTCCAAAATTTGCAGGATTTTTGGGGCTTCTGATTGTTCTGCACTCTCTCTCTCTCTCCTCCCCATCTAGTGCCAGGACTGGAGCAGTGAGTGGAAGCTGCAGTGATGCTGCCTGTGAAATATTAATGAGACTGTCTCTCTCTCTCTCTCTCTCTCTCCACCCCCAGCTAGTTCCAAAGCAGCAGCAACAACAACCCCACAAGTTAGGTGAGGGTGACTTGCCCGATGGGAGCGCCATAGCTGAGCAAGGATTTGGGTGACCCCCGTCTCCTTGTTTCAAGTGTAGCCCGGCCCTGCTGGCAGTGCTGGCCCACCATCTCCATAAGCAGCAGAGTTATATGTAGTTAGGCCATCGAGCTGCACACTTCATGTGCTGTTGGCAGCAGGAGCTCCCCAGGGTTCCCAGGAAAAGGCCTTTCCCAGCTCTGTTACCTGATGGCTCTTAACTAGAAACAGCAGCAGCAGCAGCAGCAACCACCACCTTTGAGGCTAATTACAGCAAAAGCTTTCATGGACTAGAGAATGCTTTCACCAGTTGCAGATGGACCAGATTATGATGCCATAATCAATTTGCTAGTCTAGCCTTCAAGACCTGTGGTGCAGTAAGGCAATTTTAGACTCTGTATTACCTCACTGGCTTCACAATGCAGCAAGCCACTTCTGCTGCCTCGAGAGGCCCTCTTGCTCAGTGGGGCCTGGATTTGTCCCTCAAAGTCTCTCCCACCCACGTGGCATTTTGCTACAGCGGACCAGCACAGCGTAGCCTGTCCTCTAGTTAAAAGTAACAGTCAGGCGTGGACTGAACCAGGAGCCTTCTGCCTCCAAAGTGTGCACTGCTGCACCACTGAGCTTTGGTGCTTCCCCACAATCCTCTCACGGGCCAAAGGCCCTCATAGCGGAATGCAGCTATCCTTCAACGTTTGCGCTTCTCTGAACAAATGCATATATTAGGGAGCAGCCACACCATGATGCATTGTATTAAAAGAAATCATTTGCAATAATGTGTGTATCACGTACAATTTGAAACCAAAATATGTACCTTGGGTTACATATGCTTCAGGTTACAGACTCCGCTAACCCAGAAATAGTACCTCGGGTTAAGAACTTTGCCCCAGGATGAGAAAAGAAATTGTGTGCTGGTGGAGCGGCAGCAGCGGGAGGCCCCATTAGCTAAAGGTTAACCTCAGGTTAAGAACAGTTTCAGGTTAAGAACGGACCTCCAGAATGAATTAAGTTCTTAACCCGAGGTACCACTGTATATTAGAAGTGACCACGAAATGCGTACAAATTATTGCGTTGGTATTTGGGGAGGGGGGGGAGCAAGATTGCAAACTGATGTGGAAATGGGGTGAACTCAACTTAAAATTGGAAAAATAAGAAACAGAGTGCCATTGAAATTGACAGATTTCTTCACTCCTATTCTACATAAAATTGTAGAACTGGAAGGTACCCTGAGGGTCATCTAGTCCAACCCCTGCGATGCAGGAATCTCAGTTTAAAGCATGCATGGCAGCTGGCCAGCCAACCTTGGCTTAAAAACCCCCAAGGAAGGAGAGTCCACTATCTTCCCAGAAAGGCTCTACTGTCAAACAGCTCTTACTGTAGAAGGAATGTCCTGGTTCTCAGGAAACTGTATAAAGAGATGCTAGATTTCTAAGCAATAGAAATCTTGCACTTGCTCTGCTCTGAGGTGATTTGATCTGATGGATAATTTTTTCCATATTGAAAACATCCCATAGAGCTTTTTCCATGTTAGAAACAGCAGCGCATGGCTCCTCCCACCTGCAGTCTGAAGTGGTACAGTCCAGAGTCCTACCAGCTCTTCCTCTATACATAATGTACCCACTGACTCTTAGCCTTTTGTGTAGGAGAAATGTTGTGTGCATAAGATGCAGCCCAGGCACCTATGGAAATGAAGGAGAAAAAAGCAGAAGGGAAAGAGGCACAGACATGGTGGGCTGATTGTGCAGAGGGCCAGATATTTCTCCCAAGCAACCCAGCAAAGGAAAATTTAAATGCAGTGGAGGTGAAAACCTTCTTTCCCGAGGCAACAATCTCTGGGGAAAACAGCAAGTTCTGTCCATCTCAGCTCTGGCTGGTATTCTGATCTTGCCCACATCAGAACCCAAAACTTCTCACTCAGCCCACCAAGCCAAGTCCCCAACGGGATGTGATGCAGCTTCCAGGAGCAGCAATAGCAGGAGCCCCCTGGAAAGGGCATCCCTGCCCCGACCGAGAGAGACGAGGGCAGGACTGTGCAAGCAGGAGACAACTTCCAAATGTCTCCATTTCCTAGGGTCAGGGCCATGTTTTCTGGTGCTCGTCCTTGGCAAACCACTGCCCTGTTTTAGCTTTTGGAGAATACTTCTTAAAAAAAAGAAAAAGAATTTTGCACTTCCTTCGCTTCTGCTGCACTAGTACAGCAGCCACAAACAGGAAACTGTGAGGCCTGCTTTTTTTAACAAGCCGTGTGCAGGAGCCAGTGCAAAAGGCAGACTACTTGCGGAGTAAAACGACTAACCTACACCTAGGATTGCCAACACTTCCTCCTGCGTGTTGAACAGCAGCTTGATCTGCAGCAGTGAGCAGGTGATGACATTTCTCTCCATGCTGCAAAAAGGCTTTTCCTGTTGCCAACCCGACTACACCTACAGCAGACAGAGCACGTGGGCCTTCAGCAATTTGCCATGACAGAAGAGGTGAATCATAGAACTGTAGGGTTGGAAGGAACCCTGAGGATCGTTCTAATCCAAGCCCCTGCAATGCAGGAACATGTAGCTGTCCCATACGGGGATCGAACCTGCAACCTTGGCGTTATCAGCACCAGCTGAGCTTTCTAGGCTGAAGGGCCACACTGCTTGGGGGCAGGCACAGGCTCTGCATGCAGAAGGTCCCGGGTTCAATCCTCAGCATTTCCAGGTAGGGCAGCCAGAGACTACTGCCTGAAACCCTGGATTGCTGCTGCCATTCAGTGTTGGCAGTACTGAGCTAGGTGGACAAGCGGCCTGGCAAAATGATACTGGGTGTGAGGGCGGGGTGGTGGAAGTACACCGTTGCAGTGGCCCTGTTTTCAGCTGTGAGATGACCTTGCGCTGGGTCCATCCAGCCCAGTTGGCAGTCCCTCTCCAGTGGCATCTTTCTCGCCCCTAATACTCAGCATAAGAAGAGCCCTGCTGGGTCAGAGCAAGGGCACAGCAAGGTCCAACATCCCCTTCTCACAATGGCCCTGACAGTGGAGGAGGGACACAGCCATTGTGGCTGGCAGCCACTGGTAGCTTCTTGTGTTCTGTCGCTCTTGCCCTGCCCCTGTCTGCTTCTAACCACTGGCCCCTAATCTTAGGAATCACTGCTCAGCCTCTTTTCTCCCACTGGGGTCCCGTTCCTCTTGCCTGGCCCTTCCTTGCCCCATTGGTATAGTGTTGGACCATCTGCCTGCCTGCTGCCATCCCTGTGTAGCATTGAGGGCAGTGCCATGCTGGGGGAGGGGAAAACACCTTTGATCTCCAGCTGCTGAGCAGGTGCTCCAGGTGTCTGCCTAGTGGCAGAGTTGCCACTGCCTCTTGGTGCTGCAGTGCCCTGTCTGCCAGTGCCAGGCAGCCTATTCCCCTTGAGGCCTGTCTCTCCACCGGCCTCTCATTTCCAAGCCACAGATCCCTCCTAGCTCAACGCACCAGCCACTCTCAGCCCAATTACCACGTCAGAGCCGAGATATATACCGTTGCTATATTGACCGATGCAGCCGTCTCTGTGTCTGGCCAAGGGAGATTGAAGGGGTGAGGTCGGGGGAGTGACTCAAACTTCTCTTCCCCATTTAGGTCATTACTCAGGCCCTGAGCAGTTCCAGCAGGTGCTGGGAAGGACGATGTGCACTCCAGGCCCGGCTTCTAATGGAGCCATTAGCTGCTTGTTAGGCTGAGAGCAGATCTTTGGTGGAAGGCCAAAGCAGCTTAATGCACTGGCTCTGGTGCCCGAAAGAGGGTCCCCGAGGGCAAGGCAGGGTAGGGGAAGAGAGGGAGAAAGTGGGAAATGGTGGGTGAGACATTCAAATCCAGACCAAAGTCCTTACTTTAACTCATTGGGATTTATCACTATTTAAATTGGGCCCACTTATGCATCCGATCTGGTTATTGACACCCCCCTCCCTGGCCCACTACTTGGGGTTAGGAAGGTCTCCTCAACCCCAGGTCAGATTGGCTAATAATTCTAAAGAGTGTTTTTCTTTTTCAGCTTTCCCTATTACATGTGATTTAAGACCTTTCTGAAATAATCTGAAAACAAGACTGTACATGGGGGTGGGGTGTATGCGGTGCAAGGGTAGGGGTCGTGTCTCTGGTGGGCTTGGGCCCCCAAAAGGCCCCCAGTGCTGTTAACACAGTGGTTTGGCTTGCGCCTCAGGGAGGTCACTTCGGTGCTGCTAGGGCAGCAGTTTGACTTCACCCCCCCCCCGAGGTGTACTCCATTGTCTCTCAAGGCAGACGGATGCCAACAACAACAAAAACATACTTGGCACCAGTGGCGGCTGGTGCCAGTA